TATAGCGACATCAATGAATACAGGAAGGCAATGGATGACGACTTACATGATAAAAAAGGAGGCAATGATGAGGACCAGAGTGGCACAATAAATGGCTCTGAACAAATTGATTCACAGTGCAATGAAATATCTTCTCCTGGTGGATCTCTTTCTTCAGGGCAATCAGATCATGCTCCTGAAGGTCATTTGAACGGGTCAGGTGAAGATTTTACAAAATGCAGGGATGCAGATTATGTTCCAGAAGATGAAACTGAGGCAGACTTTTCCTCTGACCTGGTAAAACATTGTGAACGTTTGCTAGAGCAACTGGAGACCATGAAAGGGTATGCTACTGAGGTTTTTTTGTACTTCTCCAGGGATCTTTATTCCCAACACTCTTTTTGTTTTTCTTGTTGCACGTCTGAAAAGTTTCCAGGAGGATCTTTTCACCTCTCTCCTTTTCCTTTGTTTGATTTTACTGATTTATTTCCTGTTCAACAGGTCTGAATTTTACGTACAGTATGATCGAATTTCAAAATATGCATTGGAACTTGAGATTAGGCTAGCTGATATAAGGTCCTTAGCCTGTAATGGGCTTTCATTACTTCCCTTCTGGGTGCACTCCGAGAGGAAGATAAAACTGTTAGATTCAGAAATAAATCAACTTTGTGGGCTATTCTTATCAGTACAACAGAATGATGTTGAGGCTGGTCATGAATCCCACAGAGGCAGTGATAATGGAGAGAGGTCAAGCTGTCCTGCCACTGGGTATGCTGTATTTAACTTGGTTATATTAATAGTAAAGAGCATGATAAGTTTTCTCTTCTTATAATGTTGCTTCTTCTTGTCTGACCAACTTGCTCATTCTTTCAGTGATGCAAGTGAGGAAAGTGGAGCCACTGGGGTCCCTGTACATGAAGATTTAACTCCTCAAACAGTGCTTCATCCGGCTGAGGAAGTAGACATGGATGTGGATATGGAAGTTGAAGATACAGAACCTTCAAGAAGCTTAACTGTGTGTGATGCACTGCATGCCCCAAATCATGCCCCACTGGATGGACCAAGTCTGTCAGTGCAACAGACAAAATTGGAGTCCTCAATCCTGGAACAAACACTTACCGTTCCTCCTCCACCTGATGAAGACTGGATTCCTCCTCCACCTCCTGATAATGAACCTTTTCCGCCACCACCACCTGATGAACCTCTAGATCACACACATGCTGTTCCTTCTAATATGGAATCAGTTCAATCTTTTCCTTACAACTTAGCTTATCCGGGTTCAACATTTGATTACTATGGGCAAACTAATCCTGAAGTTGCTAGTAGTTTATATGCAACTTCTGATGGTCAGATAGCTGTTACTCATCACCCTTTATATTATCAAATCCCAACTACATATAGTGTGGCTCCTGTGGCGATCAACCATGTCGACCCCAGTGCATACTATGGCCATCAGGATGGAGCACTGCAGCCTGTCTCTGTTGTCAGTGGTACAGAGTCTTCTGGTCTTCCAGCTATACCAGTTCATGAAAATGTTGCCCCTGATGCAATTCCATCCTTAGATGTCAACAAGGGGTCACAATCTGATTTATCAGCAAAATCTGAGGCTGATGTAGCTGCTAATTTGGTGAATGAAACGACATCTTTTGATGTTCCTGCCACACAATCCTCTTTAGCTACAGAAACCGCATCAACAATGGAGGGTGTTGGTGTGTCTTCAACATCTGTTGCCACTGGCACTGTTGCTACTGCTTCAACTGCTCCCTCAAAAGTTCCATCAAAAGGTAAGTTGGGCAATCTAAATTTGCTTGTACTTGTTTGTGAGTTGCAATTCTTGCATTTTTAGTATGTCATTAATATCAAAACCCCTTGCCAGCGAAAGCAAGGGGTTTGCCTTCTGGGTTGAGCTCGTCACACAAGGCTTGCCTAGTGCGGGTTACCTCTCCTATGTGGTTTGCGAGCTATTGCATAGGAGCGGGGGTTTTACCTTGTGCGCACCCAAAGGGTAGCGGCTGTGGGTTTCCCTTGTCATAAAAAAAAAGAGGGATTTTCTGCTGCATCAACATGTGAAACTCTTCGTCATGCTTACTAAAGGAGCTTTTCCAATGGATATGAAGCTGTCCATTCTGATTTTGCATTCTTTTTCTCTTCAGTTTTGCGTAAAAAGCGGACTGTGGGTGTGGTGTCCACATTAAGGTCTAATAAGAAAGTGTCGAGCTTGGTTGACAAGGTAACTGCCTTCACTTGGTGCTTCCCTTCCCAGGTCCTTGAAGAGTGGTTACAACATTTTGCGATAGTTTCTCTTAAATGATTCTCATAATGCTTATTCATTTCATTAGTGGAAAGCTGCCAAAGAGGAGCTGCATGCGGAGGAGGAAGAAGAACGTGAAAGTGCTCTTGAGAAGCTGGAGAAGAAACGACAACGAGAAATAGAGGTCTGCTAATGCTATATGCAGTTTGATTAGACAGCCTCTGGTATAACTAGCCTTTTTTTTAATTGGATGCTGAACTTTGTTTTGATTGTAGGAATGGCGTGCTCAGCAAATTGCAAGTGGGGAGGCCAAAGATAATGCTAATTTCCAGCCACTTGGCGGCGATTGGTACCACTTCTGATCATTTTGTTTCACTGATAAAATATCTATATGTTATATCTATTAGGAATTGTCCTTGAAATAGTGGACTTGTCTTAGATCCTCCTCCTCTCCCTTGTGTTACTGATCTTAGGGAAGTTGGGATATTCTTTTTTTTTTTTTGAAACAAAAAACTCTTTCCCTTGCTGTTGAATTATTTCAGCATGTATATATTGCTTGAATCATATGGATGCACGCTTAAAGAACCGAGGCTAACTCATGCAATTGTGCAAGCAGTGTCGTATTCATTTCACATAGTAAATTATAGTTCCTCACATTTGTCTTGACTATATTTATGATATGCAGGCGAGAGCGTGTGAAACGAAAAAGAGTAGAAAAGATGAGGGAGGCTGAAAAGCAACCATCTGAAGAAAATGAGCAACCTGATCTGGATGTCATTTCAAGAGGTCTTCCATCTGGATGGCAGGTATCCTTCTGGCACAGGTGTTTTCTATTCCTTGCATGGAAAATGAAATTTTGTTTGTGTATGATACACGATCCAAAAGCCAAATTATCTTGCTCTCCTGAGAAGGTGAGACTGATTGTGAGCTATTAAAATGAATATCATCCTAATTTCAGATTATGAGTTTGTCAGAAAGCAAAATTGAATTATGAAAGAAAACGTCAGTGGACTTTGTTGAGGGTTTTTACTTGTGAATCACCTCCTTATGATATCAAAAACAACCTTTTAAGTTGGAAACTCAAAACTAATAGAAAATTTAACTTGTGCTTGCAGCTTAAATTTTGTTTGGATGTCTGTCTATCAATTTTCCTTGTTTTTCTGTTTGTTGCTTAAATTCCAATTAGCCATCAGCTTGGTAAGTGCAGAAATCAGAGTAGATTGCTGAAGCATTCAACAATTCTCCATTCCCTGGATATGCCACAGTTTGGTGGAACACTAACATTTTGATTTTGCTTTTGCTTGTTAGTATCTTAGTTACACCATCTGAACACAATCCAGATTAGAGGTTATTGGTCTCGATATTCTACTTGTGCTTTACTAATCTGTCCATTAAGCTTTGTATGCTGATGATTGTGTGCCCCTGTGACTTCCACTCTCCTTTTTAATATCCAGTCCTACAGGCTATAAACTAACGATATCAGTTGACAGGAGTAGGGACCACAAGTTTCTGTAATTTGGATGATGCTGCATGCTATAGACTTGGCACATTTTCTGCCATTGCTGTGTTACTTAATGGTGCTCTTTTTTCCAGGCTTATTGGGATGATTCCACGAAGCAGGTCTATTATGGAAATGCTGTGACATCAGAAACGTCCTGGAATAGACCAACTAACTGACGAAGATCAATAGGAGTTCCTACTTTACATACTTATTGTAGCACCATTGGTTCTAATATTATTAGCAGTTACTATCTTGTATATATGTAAGGTTGTAGTGATGTGATCCAGTAGTAGCTGTTTTTGAACTCGATTTGATTTCTTAATGAGTTCTAAAGTTTTGTTAGGGACGAGCTTTATCGTTCCCCAATTTTTGAAATCGTGTGTCTGCCCCTTGGTGATTATCGGTTTATTGAAGTCAATTTTACTGGGCTAATCTTGAGTCAAGCGTGAGTTACTGTGTTCAGAGTACCAAATTCCTTATTAAGTTGAGTTTGGTAGTTTACCAATGCAAAAGGAAAATTCAAGCTTGGGTTGTTCTCTTAACAAATCAATTTACACAAACACACACACACGCACTATATATATATGGTAACTATTGAAGTAGAAGTGCAGGGCATTAAGCCATTTCCTATACAATTAAATATGAGGTTCTACTTGCTTTTACAGTAAGTTTGTGATCAGATTAATGCCTTCACCAAGACAATTGAGGGTGTCTTCATGTTGGTTAACGCTAATTGGTAGTAAGTGTTTATTTTTGAAAAACTTGTGGTCTAAAACAAATTATAAATATACCTATGTGATTATAAAGTATCTCATTAAGACTAAGATATAAAGCTGGATATCTAAATTTTACTGACAAAAAAGGATGGATGTTTCACAAATTGAAACTGAGGGATCATTAAATAACAAGAGACACATTGTGTAGGCCAATTTTGAAAAATAAACACATGTGAAATAGGCCAATAGAACAAAGTAGAAAATCCATGAAATACAGACATGTTTTATTTATTGGAAGAAGCACAAATAATTATCACTAAAGTTGTGTCGCTATGGAGTTACCTATGGTAGGGAGCGGGTCATCACCCAAGTGGAACTTTCTGGTGCTAATTCAGATAGTCAGGCATAAGCCAAAAACCGTGGCGTGTCTAGCTTGTTAAATCCGAGTTCAACTGAATGCAATATTTTCAACACAGAACACACAAACATAACAAGACCCTAACTTTCTCCAAATACAGGATAATAATAATTTATAACCATATCAAAAGCATGATTTCAGTATAAAGAAACTACATTAAAATGCACTTGAAACAGCTCAATCAATCAAGTTTTGAATCCTCAAACTGTATGATATTTTCCTAATAATCCAGTAGGAAAAACCACACCATTCTTCTTGATGAAGCCATGCCTCCAAGAAAATGTCTAGGTACTATAAAGAAAAGAAATGGAATGTATCTATTAAAGATAGAGGTGTCTCCGACACTTTCAATTCCTGAGTCCGCCTCTGGACACAAATATGGAATAGTCGGGCCCCAAGCAGATACCGAACACCGGTGAAAAAAACAAACCAGAAGCACAAATAATTCTAAAACATTAAATGTTGTAGTTCAATAATTTTGTCTCCTACTTCTTCCTCTTATATATCTTTGCCAAGAATGACTTGAGAACTGCTTGCATTGCTTTGCTTAATTTGGTTTCTTGATCTTCAATGGAGTTTTTCAGCTCTTCATATGTATTATTCTCATATTCCTGGTACACATCCTACAAAATTTACAAAAGGAATACGCCAAAGTCAGTGGTGTATATAGCTTATTAGGTACAGGGGTTCAACCGAATGCAGTATTTTACATACGGAGCATGGATATACATGTGAGAAACCCCTAACTTTTAATAAACACTATATTCTAAACTCATAATTTGAAAAGTAGGATAGGGTTACTTAAAAGGTTGACGGTATCAAGTTTAAATCTTGAGTCCACCTCTTGTCAAATACCATATTTGAGATGACATTTTACAATGAAAAGAATACAACTTCATGACTACTTATCAAAGAGAAATGAGAGAAAGTAGCCTTAGTAAAGAAAGGTAAAAAAGAAAACCTCAAGTTTGAGATCCTTATAGAGCGCCTTAATTTTAGCAACACAAGCTTCATCATCTTTTCCATAGTTCTCCTGCAAACAAAGTTCTTACATTTAGCATTTTGCTCATGCTAGTTGTTTGCATAGCTATGTTGCTCAGGCCCTCCAAAAATATTGTCGCGCTCATAGCTTTAGTAGGATTCAAAACACACCCAACAATACTTTTGAAAAGTTCAAGCTATATAGTTGCAGATAATGTAACCAAGGGATGACAAGTTTTTTAGGCTCACATCCAATAACTTCCTTTGCTCCTCGTTGCAGTGTTCTAGGGCTTTCACAACCAACCAAGAGCACTTGAAATCTTTAATATCCGTGCCATTCTGATAGTAAGACAGATCATTATAAAATCTCTACATTTTCAAATTAAAAGAGCTACATGATCAATTTTCAGGATTTTGTTTAGTACCAGCTTTCTTATAAAACCTACCTTACCCAACACCTGTGGATCAGCAAAGCAGTCCAGGTAATCATCCTACAAAGGACCGAAAGCTTTCAGTCAGAATTTGTAAAGTATATTATCTGCAGTCTGCAGATGGGATCTTAGGTATTTCGGGAAACAAACTAAATGAGTTGGACATATCAGATAGGCTATCACGTAACGCGTAAGACACATAATTGTTAGCCACATCCATAAAAAACAAATACTTTTTCATGGCACATGAATCTTTAGTGTGTCGACAAGGTGTCTCAGAACATTCAGACATGTTAGGGGGTGATATGCAGCTCTTTTGTAAGTACAGGAAATGTCATGTGTTGAAAAAAACAACTTTTAACTCTAAAAACAAATGTTAACGATAAGAATGAATATTCTACTATATTTCTTTCATAAGTTAATGAGTATGTCATGTACAGATAAATGACCAGTTTGGTTTCAAACGTTGTGTATTTCGGAAACAAAAACCAACTTTTTTCAGAAAACTTAACTAAGGTATGTCCCAAAACAAAGTTTTCTAGATTTTCAATAAGAGAACCAAAATCAGAACTAGTCTTCCAAACCAGCTACTTGGTTCACAAAAGAAGCAAATGCTTCGATCTATAGACATTTTAGTACTTCATATTTGTTTATAATAACTCCCACATTTTCAACTATTAATATATGCCGGTGTTTCCTTTTTGGAAACCCACTCTAAAGCGGATTACGCGAATCGACAGCTGATCTCAGTTCCAATGTTAAGAAGCATGAAATTAACCACTGTTCAGATCTAATCTAACATTTCTTTCTGGAAATCAACATGATTCATATACATACAAAACCTAATCCAAACAAGCAAGTGTGTTTCAAAAATGTATTCCAACCATATTTATGAAACTAATTTCATCAAAACCAAGCTTCTCTTAAAAAATTATATGTTATGCAAAGAATTGATTTGTGAGATGTGGAAATGTTGTCAGATAGATCTCATGGTATAGAAGATAATACATGAATAGATGCATCAGAGTTAATCATAATTCTTACCTGAACTTGGAAATATATTCCCATTTTGACGAGTATGTCCTTGGCATTAGCATGATTGTCAAGATTCTCTCCGGCCATAAGAAGTGCACATGCCACCTGAAAATATTGAAGAAGTAATTTGTATATACCTTAATAAAATGCACATCAATCTTGAGGTAATCCCCATTAATCTCTACAGAGAGTTCATAAAGAGGAACACAAAGATCTACCCAAACTAAGCACGCACAATTTTTTTGAAGTTATGGTTACAATTAAGAATCTAGAGAATAAAACAACAAAAACATTAAAATAATAAATGGGAAAAGGGCACGGTTAGCTCAGGCGGAAATCTAAAAATAAGAAGCTTGGTAAACTAAAAGTTGCAAATAGCTAATTTGCTTCAAGTTGATTCAGAAATTTGAGATTGTTTTAGAACAACAGATTTCTTCCACACAACACAAATTTCAGAAAAAGAAATAGACTTGAAGATCTCATAATGAATAGTGACTAACAAGCTGTTAACTCAATTAGGAAGGAATATCATACTCACTGGGAGATAAAATGAATAATAAGCAGTTTTATACTGGACAATCCGCCTATGACTGCATTAAATCACATCATGAATTAGTTAAAAAATTCAAGTAAAACTGAAAGCAGAATTTTTTTACAAGATTATCGATGAAGTCTCCTTACATAGGCAATGAGTACTTCGATAAATCTTTCTCTTGTGTGGTAATCAAATCTATCATTTGTCCAGAGGCAGTCTGGTATTCCACCTGTAAAAACATGTTGGCAAAGCCAAAGGTAAAAATGTTCAGCATTATAAAAAGTTTAATTCAGAGGCCTCCTTGCGCATAAAAAGACTCACCTCATTAAACAATTCAAGAAGATCAACATAATAAGGCTTTCCTCTAAAGTGCTGTTTAAGAATAACAGCAATATGGTTGCGAAGAAGTATGCCATCATTAACAGCAATCATGCCAACCTGCAAGAAATATTAAAACAATAGTTACTCCCAACAGTTCAAAGAGAAAAACAGTAGTCTCTTAGCATGCACACACCTCGGATAATCTGAACCAGCATGGTTGACCTCGGCGTTTAGAAGAGCCATCCATTATATCATCATGAACAAGGAAGTATCCTTGAAGCTGTAGCATACATTCCCACAAACCATACACTCAGAAGAATTTAAAAACTAACAATGATTCTTGGGGGTTATAATAAGGCTCAGGTGTAGCTTGAAGAGTGCTTATGTTGCATACCCATTCAATGCACCAGCCAAGGGAGGATATTTGAATGATCTCCTCACTGGTTAGTTGTTTACCTTCTTTCAACAAACTGTAGCTATCAATAGCAGAGAGCCCGCGGTTCAGCTTTCCTGTACAGAGAGTGTATAAAGTACTTGGAAAAAAAACTTTTAGCTATGAAAAATTATGAAAGCAGAAGAAACTTTTAGAATAAGTAGAACTAGAACTTCATTCCAACCTCCAAGTAGATTGTGGTCCAACATCTGAAAAAATCACGGGAAGTATAAATTAGTTTGAAGTTGAAGTTCTATTTGGACATGTAATTTGGATTTTCAAGTTGTATGATTTTCTCATTAACAAGAAAACCACACAAGTTGAGAAAACTATAAAGAAAAATTCAATTATTATACAAAGTCTTGCCAAATGAGCAAACCATAGTTCATAAACAGCATATCGAAATATTCTACAATGCCGCATTGATAAATTGCATAACTCCATGTCAAACTTTCAAATACAAAGCAATTATTTAACACAATCTTTTCACATGGCACTAACAATCTTTTCACAGCAAGCATCAGCCTATTTTGTAAAATTTAAAATTATAGGTATTGAAATCATATCCCAAATCGGACATTCAAACACCTGCTAAATAATCAAAATGGGGAAAAGCAGAAGAAATTAAAAATTACCTTTGCTACCCAATCACAAGCGCCATTAGTTAAATTGATATCCAAATCCTTTAAGATATCGCCTTTAAGTTGTTCATAAACCCCCATGAACTTTGACCTGAGATCACTCATTTTTCAACGTTGTTTTCGTTTGTTTTAGGGAAAGAGGAGAATTTTAGGTTTTTGGCATACAATGCTTTTTTTCCTTATATAGGAAACAAATAGTGGTGTATTTGGTTGAAAAGTGGCAAAGGGCACTTTTAATTCATCAGCAACAGCTGATGAATTAGAGGGTGTTTGGATTAACTTAAAAGTTCGTCAAACCTACTTTTAAGTCAGTTTTTGACTTCTGAAAGTATTTGTCAAATATAAAAATAACTTAAAATAAGTTAGGAAGTGTTTGGCAAGGTTTTTAAAATGACTTAAAATAAGTTAAAACCAAAAGTAGGCCTCCCCTACTTTTTATTTTTTGGACTTAAAAGTCATTTAAGCTTGACTTTTTATTTTTGACATAAAAGCTACATTTTTTAAGCCAATCCAAACGGGCTCTTAGTATTGTTGTTGAATAAAATCAAACAAATAGGTCAATTATGTATCACTTGCCATAGTAGTTCATTATGGAAAAAATAGATTATTTCAAAGTTAGCCACCAATCCACTAATTTTCAGGAAATATAATAAATAATACAGTGAATTCTTGTAGGGCTTACCTACTTTTCATTATTTTTTTAAATGTCGGTGGTGTTTGGATCGGATTACGTGCATTATGACTATTTTACTAGATACACGTCATGTTCCATCAGCATAAGTAGTGAATATCGTTACTAATTTGATTATGATGGGGTTGCACTAGGGATCAACTCTTAGTCCGTACCTATTTGCATTGGTGATTGGATGTATTGACACATTATTTTCAAGGAGAGATGCTATGGTGTATGTTATTTGTTTGGCTGTCAGTCAACTGATCTTCGTTGTTTGTCTGTTTGTTGCTTAAATTCCAATTAGCCATCAGCCTGGTAAGTGGAGAAATCAGGGAATATGCTGCATCTCAAAGACTTGGCACATTTTCTGCCATACCTGAGTTGCTTAATGATGCTCTCTTTTCCAGGCTTATTGGGATGACTCCACGCAGCAGGTCTATTATGGAAATGCTGTGACATCAGAAATGTCCTGGAACAGGCTAACTGACTGACAAAGATCAATAGGAGTTCCTACTTTACAATATTCATTGTAACACTAGTGGTTCCAATATTATTGGCAATTACTATCTTGTTGTATATATGTAGGGGTATAGTGATGTGATGCAGTGGTAGCAGTTTTTGAACTCGATTTGATTTCTTAATGAGGTCTAAAGTTTTGTTAGTATGATATTCAGGTGGAGAAGGGGTAAGGGGCGAGCTTTATCATTCCCCGAGTTTTGAAACCATGTGTCTGCCCCTCTGGGGTTTATCATTATTGAAGTAGCTTTAGTTCGTCCCGGGAAGTTGAGTATAAATGACAATTTCTATCCAAACTAATAATTTTGTATGTGCATCTACATAGCAATTCCCAATGCTACATCTTTCCTATTTGATGATTATGACCCAAAAACAGAGTGAATAGCGAGCCATCTATCAACAATTATTGATTGGATGGACTAGAGTGTACTGAATTCCTTACTAAGTTGAGCTTGGTTGTTGACAAATACAAGGGAATGTTCAGGCTTGGGTTGTTCTCTTAACAAATCAATTTGAATATATATCCAAATTGGTAACCCTTGGCATGTTTTTTAAAATGAGCATAAATATTGAACATACATGTGCAGAGCATTAAGCCGTTTGGCATAGCATAAAATCTGAGGATTTACTTTCTTCTAGAATAAGTTTCTGATTAGATTAATACCTTCGCCAAGACAATTGTAGGTGTTTTAAAGTTGGATACACTAATCAACAATCGTTTATTTTTTAAACTTGTGGTCTAAAGTAAACCATAAATAAATGGGTATATAAATTATCTCATTAAGAATAAGATAGAAAAAGCTTAATATTAAAACTTTAGTAAGTATAGAAAGGTATATTTTTTTTGGAACTAACTAAAAAGGAAAGAATGTCATACAAATTGGAAAGAAGGGAGCAGTAAATAACAAGAGACACATTATGTAGCTTCCAATTTTGAAAAATAAACACACGTGAAATAGGCCAATAGAACAAAGTAGAAAATCCATGAAATACAGACATGTTTTATTCATTCGAAGAAGCACAAATAACTATCACTAAAGTTGTGCATACTATGGAGTTACCTATGGTAGGGAGCGGGTTATCACCAAAGTGGAACTTTCTGGTGCTAATTCAGATAGTAGGGCTTCAAGCAGGTACCAAACACACTGTGAAATGAAAGAAGAACAAATAATTCTAAACATTAAATACAGAAATTCAATAATTCTATCTCTTACTTCTGCCTCTTATAAATCTTTGCCAAGGTTGACTTTAGAATTGCTTGCAATGCTTTGCATGGCTGAGCTTCAATAGAGTTGATCAGCTTTGCATATGTCTTCTTCTCATATTCCAGGTACACATCCTACATATTCCCATAAAGAACAGGCAAAAAACAGTGGCGTATCTAGCTTATCACATTCGAGTTCAACTGAATACAATATTTTCAACACAGAACATGGATATATATATATATATATATATATAGCAAGTCTCTAACTTTTAGCAAATACAGGGTAATAGCTAATAACCATATCAAAAGCATGATTTCAGTATAAAGAAACCACATCAAAATGCACTTAAACAGCTCAATCAATCAAATTTTTTGGTATGATGTTTTTCTAATCATCAAGTACAAAAACCACACCATTCTTCTTGATGAAGTTATGAGTTGTGTGATCAACCACATTCGTATTGTTCAGCTCCAGATTGTAGAAATCCATCTTATCATCTGCAAATAGTGGTCCAGCATGCCATGTACCATGACTCAGTTTTATAAACTTTGGACCTGAAATTCTGAAAGCCTGCACTTCATCAACAGCAGGAGGCACATAAAAATGCCCACAATGTGACTGCACAACAATATCAACAGCACCCTTGATATCAGTTGGATCTACAATAGATGGCTTAGCAACTCCAAGATACCAAACATTGCCTCCAATAGATCCAAGACATTGAGTGACATTGGCATGATGTGTTATCTTAGAAAATTTGAGGGATTGATCTTTAAGCTGCATAATGTAAAACCTAGGAATCCCATTGCTCAAATCAAGCTGAGCATCACGAGGACCGAATTCTTCCCCATCTGGAGACGCCTCAATTACCTGACCACCACTAACAACAACATACTCAGTGATTTTCTACAAGCGTGGTCTGTAAGGGTAGAGTGTACACAAACTTTAACCCTACACCTCATAGAGGTAGAGAGGTTGTTTCAGGAGGACCCTTGGCTCGAGTACAACAAATTAAAGTAGGTATAAAAATGAGAAACAATATTGAAGAAAACATAGCATGTATAAGGAAACACTAACAACAAAATAATGCAATAACCGAAACAGAATAAACAATAGATGATGATAGAATCTCGTGTAGGTAGAGAAACTGTTTCTGGAGGATTCTCAGCTCGAATACAGCTAATCGTAGTTATGAAAAACAAAAAATGACAGAGGAGAAAAACACAGCAAGTAACAAGGAATCAGTAACAACAAAATAGTGCAATAACCTGAACACGATAAACAATATATGATGATAGAAATCAAAAGCAATGACCTGACCAAACTCTTTAAAAGTTTCTGCAGTTGCTTCAATAGGTTTCAGCTTCACGACTGACGGCGCCGTCATGCTAACGCCGGAAGATTCCATTGATACAGAAAAGGAACGGTGGATTAAGCGACGGCGAGTAGGCAATATGGGAAGGGGAAAGTAGTGAATGGATTGATGAGGAGATTGTTTGAGTGATTTCACCGGAACGGAACTGGAACTTTTATCAGCGACCGGGGATCCGGCGAGTCGGCGATGTGGCCTGACTGATGGCGAATATATGAATTGCTTCAATTTTAGCATCTTTGAGCATCACTCCTCCACTCTACAAATTGGATAACTTTGCAACAAAAAGTTCAATTGGTCTTTTCTTTTTCTAGAAAGTCGTAAATACTTTTTTTTTTTTTTTATACAAGGAAAACTCGTATTCGCTATCTTTTGGGTGTGCACGTGATAAAATCCTCACTCCTAAGCAATAACTCGCAAATTATATAGTAAATATTCTTTCATTCTTAATAGCACAAACACGAAATGTTTCATTTTGTAAAATTGTACCAAAGTCGTAAATAATCTTTCATTCTTAATAACACAAAAATGAAAAGTTTCATTTTGTGTAAATATGAATTTGGTTGTGTATATATATATAGGTAGATATCTTAAATAATGTATATATTTCTAATCCACATTTCCTAACAACAAAGATAAAAGTGATCTACCAATAAAAATTATCGTGGAACAATAATTACTCGTTCATTTTTAACTAGAAATCTCGAGTTTGAATCCCCTAATACGAAATTACCTTTGTTAGGGAATATTTTACCACTTAATATGAAACTTTTCGGTGTGAATTCAAATTTACTCAGATTCAATTGCAGATATCAAACAGATAAAAAAAGATAAAAGGATTCCACTAGTTGATTTGATTGCACTTAATAATGGGCTTACCTGAGTTTGATTACCACTTTAGCATTTTCCCCAAATTTTAATATTTCAATAGTTACAGCCCAATTTTCTTTTATTGCTTCTTTCTGTAGTTTTCAGAGAGTTCAACACCACACTAGGTAGTAAGTAATTAACATGTCTGTTATTTGAAGGGACAAATAACATGTCTATATTAAAGATAGACATGTCTCCAACACTTTCAAATCATGAGTCCGCCTCTTAGAACAAATTTGGATTAGTCGGGCTCCAAGCAGGTACCGAACATACGGTAGGGAAAAAAAGCACAGATAGTTCTAAACATTAAATATTGAAGTTAAATAATTCTATCTCCTACTTCTGCCTCTTGTATATCTTTGCCAAGAATGACTTCAGAACTGCTTGCACTGCTTTGCTTGGTTGAGCTTCAATAGAGTTGATCAGCTTTTCATATGTACTCTTCTCATATTCCAGGTACACATCCTACAAAATAACCAAAAGGAATAAGCCAAAGTCAGTGGTGTATCTAGCTTATTAGGTACGGGTTCAACCGAACGCAATATTTTCAGAGCATGGATATATATATATATATATATATGTGTGTGTGTGTGTGACAAACCCCTTCCATTTCAATTTGTTTGTCTTACTTTTGTTTTTAGTATGTTTCACAAAGAATGTCTCTTTCCTTTTTTGGCAGCTCTTTAATTTCAACTTTCTACGTGACATGTTTAAGACAACAAGAGATTAAAGAACATTTTGGTACATTCTACATATCTTTAGTTTAACACCGCAAGATTCAAAAAAATTCTTTACTTTCTTAAACTCCGTTTCGAGTCATAACTAGACAAACAAATTGATATGGAAGGAGTAGTATATCCTAAACCCATGATTTGAAAAGTACGATAAGGTTACTTTAAAGGTTGACCCTATCGAGTTCAAATCTTGAATCCACCTCTTGTCTGAGATGACTTTTTACTAAGAAATGAACAGAACTTCATGATTACTTAACAAAGAGAACATAGAAAGCAGCAACAGCAAATAAAGGGGTAAAATGAAACCTCAAGTTTGAGATCATTGTAGAGCGCCTTTACTTTAGCAACACAAGCAGGGTCATCTTTTCCATAGTTCTCCTGCAATTGAAGTTCTTACATTTAGCATTTCCTCATACTAGTTTGTTTGTTGAGCTATGTTACTCGGACCCTCCAAAAGTTTAGCCATACTTGTGTCGGATACTTCAAAATGTATAGCTTTAGAGGTTTCGACACACACACGGCAATATTTTTGAAGAGTTCGAGCAAGAAAGTTGCAGAGAACATAACCAGAGGATGACAAGTTTTTTAGGCTCACATGTAATAACTTTTTTTGCTCATCATTGCAGTGTTCTAGGGCTTTCACTACCAACCAAGAGCACTTGAAATCTTGAATATCCGTGCCAATCTGATAGTAAGACAGATCACTATAAGATCTATACATTTTCAAGTTAAAAGAGCTATGTGATTAATCTTCAGGATTTAGATTAGTGGTAGCTTTCTTATAAAACCTACCTTACCCAATACATCTGGATCAGCAAAGCAGTCCAAGTAATCATCCTACATAGTACCGCAAGCTTTCAGTCAGAAGTTGTAACATGAGCAGATGGGATCTTAGGTATTTCGATAAACGAACTAAATTAGTTGGACATTTCAGATAGGCTATCACGTAATCGTAAGACACATGGTTGTTAGCCACATCCAAAAAAAACAAATATTTTTTCATTGTTTGACCAAATTGCACACGAGTTTTTAGTGTGTCAACAAGGTGTCTCAGAACATTCAGACTTGTTAGGGGGTGATATGCAGCTCTTTTGCAAGTACAGGAAGGTTCTTAGCATATTGCACAAGTACAGGAAATGTCATGTGCAACACTTGAAAATAGCAACTTTTAACAATAAAAAACAAATGTTAATGATAAGAATGAATATTATACTATATTTCTTTTGATAAGCAAATGAGTATGTCATGTACAGATAAATGATCAGTTTGGTTTCAGATGTTTTGTTCTTTTCAGAAAACTAAACTAAGGTGTCCCAAAACAGCATTTTCTAAATTTTCAATTACAGAACCAAACTCAGATCCAGTCTTCAAAACCAGTTACTCGGTTCACAAAAGAAGCTTCTTTCTTTTTAATAACTCACACATTTTCAACTATTACTATCTGCCGGTGTTCCCTTTTTGGCAACCCATTCTAAGGCAAATTATGGCGACACAACAGTTGACCTCCATTCCATTGTTAAGAAGCATGAAATCAAGCACTCATTCGATCTAATCTAACATCCAAAACCTAATCCAAACAACAAGTGTTTCTCAAAAGTGTATTCCAAGCATATTTATGAAACTAATTTCATCAAATAACTACATCAAAACCAAAACCAATCCCCTCTTAAAAAGATTATATGTTATGCAAAGAATTGGTTTGTGAGATGTGGAAATGTTGTCACATAGATCTCATGGTATAGAAGATAGAACATGAATGGATGCATCAGGGTTAATCATAATTCTTACCTGAACTTGGAAATATATTCCCATTTCGAGGAGTATGTTCTTGACATTAACATGATTGTCAAGATTCTCTCCTGCCATAAGAAGTGCACATGCCACCTAAAAATATTGAAGAAGTAATTTGTATATACCTTAATAAAATGCACATCAATCTTGAGGTAATTCACATTAATCTCTACAGAGAGTTCATTAAGAGGAACAGAAAAATCAACCCAAACTAAACAAGCACAAGACTTTTGAAGTTGTGCTTACAATTAAGAATCTAGAGAATAAAACAACACACACATTAAAAGTAAATAAATGGGAAAAGGGCACGGTTGGCTCAGGCGGAAATCTAAAAATAAGAAGTTTGGTAATATGTTTTCTGAAAGTTGCAAATAGCTAATTTACTTCAAGTTGATTCAGAAATTTGAGATTGTTTTAGGACATCAGATGTCTTCCACACAACACAAATGTTCAGAAAAAGAGATAGACGTGAAGATCTTCTCATAATAGAATAGTGACTAACAAGCTGTTAACTCAATTAGGAAGGAACATCATACTCACTGGGAGATAAAATGAATAATAAGCAGTTTTATACTGGACAATCCGCCTATGACTGCATGAAATCACATCATGAATTAGTTAAATAATTCAAGTAAAACTGAAAGCAGAAATTTTTTACACGACTCTTGATGAAGTCTCCTTACATAGGCAATGAGTATTTTGATAAATCTTTCTCTCCAAAATGTGTGGTAATCAAATCTATCATTTGTCCAGAGGCAGTCTGGAATTCCACCTGCAAAAACAAATCCAAAGAGACAAAAGGAAAAATGTTCAGCCTGATAAAAAGTTTAATTCAGAGGCCTCCTTGCCCATAAAAAGTCTCACCTCATTAAACAATTCAAGAAGATCAACATAATAAGGCTTTCCTCTAAAGTGCTTCTTAAGAATTCTTGGTATGTGGTTGCGAAGAAGTATGCCATCATTAGCAGCAATCATGCCAACCTGCAAAAAATAATAAAACAATAGTCACTCTCAACAGAGTTCAAAGAGAAAAACAGTAGTCTCTTAGCACACACACACACACACACCTTGGGTAGTCTGAACCAGCATTTTTGACCTCGGCGTGTATGAGAGCCATCCATTATATCATCAAGAACAAGGAAATATGCTTGAAGCTGCAGCATACATACCCACAAACCATACACACAGAAGAATTTAAAAACCAACAATGCTTCTTGGGGGTTAGAAAAAAGACTCAGGTGTAGCTTGAAGAGTGCTTATGTTGCATACCCATTCAATGCACCAGCCAAGGGAAGATGTTTGAAAGATATCCTCACTGGTTAGTTCTTTCCCTTCTTTCAACAAACTGTAGCTATCAATAACAGAGAGCCCACGGTTCAGCTTTCCTGTACAGAGAGTGTATAAAGTACTTGGAATAAAACCTTCTAGCTATGAAAAATTATTAAAGCAGTAGAAACTTTTAGAATAGGTAGAACTGGAACATCATTCCAACCTCCAGGTACATTGTAGTCCAACATCTGAAAAAATCACGGGAAGTATATATTAGATGCAAAAGACGAGGACAAAGTGAGACACTGGCAGTCAGGAAAATTCACTAACTCAGGAAGCAGTAAAAATGAACAGAAGCTGGCCTAAGACTGTAATAAAGTTAGAAACTTGTCATATCAAAATTACTAAACATAATGATGTTAGAAATTTGTCATATCAAAAGTAATGAACTGACATTCAAAAAACAGCTAGTTTATGCTGTATGAATTATCAGGAAATAACTCAAATAGACCATTTTGACATTTTCAGCTATAACTTTTAGAAAAGTGATAATACGTCCCCCACAACTCTTTCTTCTGTAATCACACAGCATTGGTTGAACCAGAAGGTTAGGAGCGGGTGCAGCATCTGTCACACCACTCCTAACTCACTTAACTAATTCACTTACTCTAAGTTAATTCTAGTAAAGATATTAACTAATAATTCTCTATTTTCTCTTTGTAAAACCAAACAACAAATCTGCAAGCGTTCTCCACTTCCACCCTTGGAAAAACATAAAACAACCAGCAAAACTGTATTCAGTCTCAATTAATGAGATGGTGGGTTCCAATTGGTGTATTTGAAATAAACTATATATCCTTTTAAAACATCAAAATTTCTACTTCTTCATCATATTTTTGGAGCACAAGGTAGAGGGGAAACTAATTCCTTTTTAACTTACATTCCATTATCAATACAATGTTGAATGCCTCTCATTAAGATAGTTGAGATTACTTTCCTTCCGATGCTACAGACGCATCCTTATGTACTCATTTTCTTGTGCAGTTGATCACAAATAAGGTTTATTTTTTGCAACCCCAAGCTAGCATAGAAAGGCCAATTCTTTTTAGTGGAAAAAATGGGTTCAAGCACTATCAAATAATGTAAGGTCCTAGTCCTCATCCCACCACACCTGTGAGTCTCAACAACATTAATTAAATGATAAAAATCAAAACTTTATTGTAAAGAAAGAAATTCCAACAAAAATAAAAAAGATTTTCCCATAAGAGTGAAGGATTAAAAATAACTAGCACAAAGAAACAGGCTAAAAACAATATCAAAAGCATGATTTCAACATAAAGAAACCACATCAAAATGCACTTAAACAGCTCAATCAATCAAGTTTTGAATCCCAAAACTGTATCAATCTTTTACATCAACTCCTTATCCACTATCTGAATCTTTCATGACCCTTTTTTCCCTATCCGGTCATTTTATAAACTAAGGCCCCGTTTGAACCGTTTGAGCATGATTTGAAATCAGATTGATTTGAAGTTGAAGTTTTATAATTTGGATTTTCAACTTATATGTTCTTTTCTCATAAACAAGAAAACCACACAAGTTGTAAAAACTATCAATTCCAAATCTTCTACAAATTCTTACCAAATGAGCAATCCATAGTTCATAAACAACCTATCCAAATATGCTAAGGTACATAGCAATTATTTAACATAATATGAGTCTATTTTGTAAATTTTAAAATTATGGGTATTTGAAATCATGATCTCTAATCGCACATGCAAACACCAACTAAACAATAAAATGAGGAAAACAAGAAGAAATTCGAAATTACCCGTTCGACCCATTGACGATCATCATCAGTAAACTCGAAATCTGGATCATTAAGAAGCTCAGATTTCAGTACTTTGTAAACACCCAAAAACTTCGACTTCAGATCACTCATTTTCCCACAGAAAAAACTGTTGTTTTCGTTAATTTCAGAAAAAGATGAGAATTTTTGGGATTTTGGAATACAATGCTTTTCTTCTTTCTCATATATAGGAAACAAATAGCTATGTATTTGGTTGAGAAGTGACAAAGAGCATTTGTAATTTGTGAGTAGCAACCTCCCTTTTTGTTGGAAATACATAATATTAGAGTATTGTTGTTAAATCAAATCAATAAGTCAATTATGTATCACTTCATTGTGGAAAAAAAAAAAGATTATTATAAAGTTGGTTATGAATTTTTTATTGTGGAAATATAATAAAGAGAAAAGAATTGGAATATGTTTGCTCTAGTTTTTGTTGTTTTTAATATTGAAACAATTTTTTTCTTTATTTAGAAGCGGTGAAATTTGTTGTATCGGATGTATTTGTATTTATAGAAACTTTTATTTTTGTGTTTATAATAGTTACTAGTTCTTGAACACGTGTAACTCATGCTAAATAGAAAGTTAATTGAAGGAATTTTATACAGGAAAAAAAAAGAAGAGGGAAAAAGGTTTGAATATGTTTGTTCTAGTGTTGAAACGGTTTTTCCTTATCTAGTGGTAATGAATTTTGACGTTGAAACGGTTTTTCCTTATCTAGTGGTAATGAATTTTGACGTATTTGATACATTTGTATTTGTAGAAGCTTTTGTTTTCGTGATTATCTGAATTATTGATTTAGTTTATGCATGACGAAAGGAGGCATTGGAATGGTCTTAGCTCATGAATATTCAGACAATAAAAGAAAGACGAGAAAAAAGATTAAGATAGTTATGAATTTCATTCAGTTTTCGTTATTTGATCGAACAATCCCAAATTCAGTTATTTTTACCCCTCAATTTTGTGATCTAGAGTTGTATACTTCTTGTTACAAAAGTGACTCACATATACTCCTACTGTTACACAAATGACCCAAATATACTCTTTTGGTGTAAGGGCAATGAATAAAATAATTTTACTTTTTTATTTTTTTTAAAAAAATATTCTTTGAATTTATTATTTTGATAGTCAGATTTATTTTTTCACTTATTTTCTTGTAAATTTTATCATAGATGCCCAACTTTTTTCTTTTACAAATATAAAAAAATAAATTTCAATTTAGCAGCAAATAATTTAGTTTTTCTCTCTTTTTCTCATTCACTCTTTTTTCTTTTTATTTCTCATATTTTTACATTTAAAATAAAAGAAAAAAATAATAAGAATAAGAAACTCAAATAATAATTAGGTTCATACATTCTAGTAGCATTAACATTAATCTTATAATTTCTTGTTCTTCGATTTTTGTTAATACATGCTATATATTTCAGCTATCACATTATTTTGATGTTGTTCGATGACTTTTTTTTGAATGATACATAATGAGCTATTATTTGTTATGTCAGCTTAGCGTATTATTCTTAACGCAACTTTATTATCAATTACTTGAGCCATCTTTCATAAACAACCTCTCTACCTCCATAACTCATAAATCACTATGTAATGATACTGTCTATGTATACCTACACTTTCAGACATTACGTAGTAAAATTACAATAGATATGTTGTTGTTATTAGAGTAGGATTTAGCCTAGTGAAGAAGTAAACCAAATATTACTAATAGTAATTAAATTAACATGGTTGGGTGTTTTTTTGTTGTATAATTATTTGTTTAGTATTAATTTTGAAATTGTAGCTAATCTTTAAATATTAGTGGATGTAGAAGACTATTGGGAAAGGTATACAAATTGGATTCATTAGGTAAAGTATTTATTCAAATTAGACTCAATCTAATATATTTATCCTAATTGGACCCACGTCTTAACTATTTACCTCACTGTCCACTTGTTTTATTCATTGAACTACAACTTCTTTATTTTTGATATCATCAGTGTGTGAGTGTATATATATATATATATTCTGATGGTATCAAACAATAATTGAACATTTTTAAAATTGAAACACTGCATGTTCCTCCTTGATGCCATCAGAGTACATATACTCTAATGATATCAAGGAATAATTAAGTAGTGTTTTCACTAAATCACTGCTTCTTTCTCTTTGATACCATATATATATATTGATGGTGTCAATTAGTAAATACATATTAATAGTTAAAATAGGGGGTATGAAAGTAAGAGTATAGCCGCTTGACGCTTGTAAATAATTTCTCTATTGCGGTACAACCGTTCTTTTCCCGAGACTATTATTAAAAATTAGCAATATATAGCCCATAATTAAAATGCATTTAATAGACCAAAAGATAAGGAGCACAAAATAGCCCATTATTAACATACTGCAACTAATAGGGTTTTTTTTTTTTTGGAGAAACTAACCGCCACTCTCAACTAGCATTCAAGACGGAACGTGGGAAACCACATAACTCCCAGAGATAATAAGCGATTCAGCGTCCATAACTCCATAAACTTCATGTCCAATATAAAAAAAATAAAAAATTAACGAGGTTCTACTACAAATATCAACAAATAAATGACGTCTTTGATAGTGTTGATTCATCATAGCGGAGAATGCGATAGCACAAATAATTTTGTAAATTATTCCATGGATGGGGTGGTTATTACAACAAACATTGATTTCAACGGATTCACTCACTTGATTTCAAGCCATCTAAATGTCGATACTTCCTTGAATTCGTTTGAATTTCATTATAAAATTGAAGAAAATTCTATGCCTATGTGGATACGAAACACTATGGGATTACAAGTATACATCGAATTGAAAAAAGGTTCAGGAAACTTCAAAGACTATCCAATGTGCATAACTTGGAAAGCTATAGATATTCATCATACACTTTCAATTATTGGAGAAGAATATGAGGAGGTCGATACCCAAATCATACCACATAGTAACACCAACGCAGACAATTTGAGTGTAACTGAATACAATGACATGGCTACTCGGCAGATTACATATTTTCAATAATGCAATATTATTGAAAGTGATGCTGCTAACGTACCCTCATAAGGTCAACTATATAAGGATAAGAAGATTTTGAAGTCTGTCATTGCAAATTATACAATTCAAATGAAGTTTCAATTTAAAGTGAGCAGATCAAGTTCATCAAGGTATTATTCAATTAGTATAAGTAGAATATGAATCTATGATATCTACTACAATGTATACCTTTTCAAAAATGGTATACTTTATGAATCCAATTACTTATAAATTTTACAAGTTGACTGAAATTAATATTATCAAAAGATTGGTTTTTATCACGTGATTGAATAGTCATGTATACAATGCATTATTGTATACATATTCATGTATTCATTCACTCAAAAAATTAAACTGAGTATCGAATTATCTTTTATCATGACTGGGTTTTTATCACGTGAATGCACATTCATGTATACACTGCATTCATGTATACATATCTGTGTATTCATTCAATAAAATTTGTATACATTTCAGATTTTTCCTTCAATGTGTAAATGAGGATTGCACTTGGAAATTAAAATGCTCAGCATTGCACAAGTCAAAAATATTCAAAGTGAGACGATTCATTGCTAAACACACTTGTCCTACAAAGGATAGACTAATGTCGCAACGAGTTGCTACCTCAACTATACTTGGAAGAGCAATACAGTACAAATATCATGATCCAAAAGTTGTATACAATGCAAGAGACATAATTACTGATATGAATAAATAATTTGGACTTGATTTGACATACTGGAAAGCACATCGAGCAAGGTTAAAAGCACTGAAAATGGTTAGGGGTGATCCCACAGAATCCTATGCTGAGATACCAAGATATTTGCACAGGTTGACACAATCAAATTCAGGATCTATTGTCAGTTTACAAAAAAACAGTCGATGGACATTTTCAATATGCTTTTGTGGCTTTAAATTCTTCAATACAAGGTTGGGTAAATTGCAGGCCAGTTGTAATTGTTGATGGAAGCTTTCTCAAAGCAGCTTATCATGGAACATTTCTAACTGCTAGTTGTCAAGATGCTGGAGGTATGTATACAACTCTTATTTATTTCAATATATTTTTCCACATATATAGATCGCATTAATTGCCTCCACAATTAATTTTTTTCTCAAAACATTATACCACACTTACAGTTCATTATAATTTGTTTAGGACATATATTATCATTGGCATACACAATTGTTGATTCCGAGAATAATGCATCATGGCAATGGTTTTATGAAAAGTTCAAGAAAGCGTATGGAGTGAGGGATAAAATATGTTTTGTATCAGATAGGCATCAAAGCATAATTAGAGCTATATTGGTTATATTTCCAGATTTACCACATTACGCATGTATGTGGCATCTGTGGAAAAACATCAAAGAAAATTTCAGGAGAAACCAATTACAATTAAGGGAAATATATTATGCAATGGCTCGCGCATACATTATGCAAGATTTTGATTACTATATGGCTGAAGTTAATCGAATTGATCATCGAGTGAAGACTTACCTGTATGAAATTGGTTGTAGTAAATGGTCAAGGGCACATTCCACTAGTAATAGAACTATGACCATGACATCCAACATAGCAGAGTCGCTTAACTTAGCAACAAAAGACGCACGAGATCTCCCAGTAACAAGGCTACTTGAAGAGATGTGTAAATTAATTGAGGAATGGAACTATGACAAGTCAAAAGAAGCTCTGTATACAAATACCAAACTTACAGCAAAATATGAATCAATTCTTGCTGATAACCTGGAAATTGCACTACATAAGATGGTAAGTTCTATTACTTATACTAATCATATTAATTATTCTAAATATAAATTGCACACCATAAATATTTATACTAATCATATTAATTATCCTCAATAGGTGCGACCTTCAAGTGATTACCTACATACCGTCACACATATGGGGAAAACTTTCATCATTTGTATAAAAGCAAAAACATGTACATGTCAACAATTTCAACTCGATGAACTTCCATGTCCACATGCTTTAGCAGTATTACATAAAAAAGGCTTGGATGGAGATGATTACAGCTCATTATACTATACCAAGGAGAACATGATAAAGACATGATATCCCCGTACATCCAATGCCCGATGAAAGTACATGGGACTTATCCCAAGAAGTGGCTGAAGAAATTTTATTGCATCCAATAGGTAACAAAGTGCCAGGAAGACCCCCAAAAAATAAAATAAGAAAAAGCTTGGAAATCAACAAAAAAATCATATATAACTTCATGTGGAAAATGTGGACAAGAAGGGCATAACATCAGAACATGCCTAAAGAAAAATAGAAGTTACATATAGTAATTATATATAATGTGTATTTATTTTTTTAGAATATTTTATGAATTCATAGATGTCATGTACATTATTATAGTCACTGATAAGATGTTTGTTGTTGATTGATGAGATGTTTGTTGTTGATAGACATTCACTGATTCACGATTTTCTTTTTCTTCTCCTTTGAAGCTCACAGATTCAGTAATGTACTCTTTTTTTTGTTATTTGTATGAATTTCGATTTCTTTGCGATTTGTGATGCTTCGTCACTTTAGTTTCATGGTCATTGCTACATATATGGAATAGTTCAAGAATTAAATTAATCTAATTGAAATTTGAAGTTAAATTACTAAATTCGACAACTCCAATTCCATTCCGTTTTGTTCATCATTAAAATTTCTCGCTAATTTTTTCTGCTACTCTACAGTTACTTGCAACTTTTCCCCCCTTAAAATCCTAATCCATTTCAGAATAGTAGATTTTGAAAATTGTGTATTTCTCTTTCCTTGTGAATATAATTGGGTTTTTCTTATAATAAAAATCAGAATTGTAATTTTGTCTGATCAACAAAGTCTATGTATACCATTCTTTTATATGTACTCAGAAATGCATTTCAATAGTTGTTAATCCTAGTAATTGTTTTTTATTAGATTAGGATTTCTCATTTCAACTATTCACATATGTGGATTTGACATTCTTATGAGTTTTTGTTGCATATCTTTTATGTTTTTATACCTGCAAAATGTGCTTGCAACAGAGAGGAATGCCAAAATGGTGCATCTGCCATGTAAAGCAGACTTGAAGACATGTTAACTGATACTTAGCACATCACACAGTAATATAAATTTCATGCCACTACATATATGCATTACTTTATTAAAAAGAGTTGGATGAGAATGAATTTAAAATTGTTTTTTCTCTTCTCCATTTCTTGCATTATTCTCATGAAAATAACTATTCAAGAAATTGTAATCAATAATTGAGTAATTGATCCACTTTATATGTTGCAACATTGGTCCGTGGTGGTAGTGATTTGTGTCTGAGAGGAGATCCATGAAGCCGTTGAGCAGGCACTGACTGTACTTTTCAATTTGAGGGCATTACTGTATATTTGTATTTTCTGCTTTTTCATACCATTCAATAGTCAGATAACAAAAATCTAATAAATAAGTCAATTTATGTAACTGATCGAGCTAGCATGGAGACTAATCTCTAAATACTAGATTTTTATTTTGATAATGGATAGATTTGATAATTAGAAAATAAAATCCAACAAAAACATGAATATATAAAGAATGTGAGCGACGAAAATTACAAACAACAAGATGCTGCATTCATGTTGCCAAGAAAACAAAATGTCTACAAATATATAACCAAAACATAAAACTTACGGTTTAACAAACACATTAACAATCATCACTTAAAACAATATGGTATCTTTCAAAACAACAACTACACTTGTTGCCTAATAACTTTATCCTTAATTTTGATTTTTCTCTTTGGGAACTCAGATTCACTCTCAGCATCTTCTTTCTGCTTGTTCAGTCCATAATTCCATAAAAGACATGCCAGTCGACTTCGATATTGATCTACATCAAACTTGATAGGAAACTGACGGTTTCTAATGAAATACTCTGCAAAAGCAGATACAAAAACACCACAATCCCTGCATAGATAAAAAAGAAATATAAATAATTTGTAAAAAAAAACTAACTTAACACAACTTACAGATTCTTTTGCGTTGGCAAATTATCAACAAATGTTACATCCAAAGGATTTAACATACTTGTGCTTGAATACGGCAGCTGATCAAAGGCTACACCTTGCTTTTTCATATAAAATTCAGTAACATACAATAAGTGTGGAATCAAAACCGCATATGCTTTGCATGCCTCCAGAACTTTATGATCATGAGCAGCACCTCACATAGAATCATAAACATGAATTACCCTATCATTGATTGTGAAAATTCCTAAAACCCAATGAGCTAATTCCTCCACAAAGATTGGCATTAACACATGATCAACTAAATACCAAGGGCAAGCACAAGCCATATACGATCCAAGAACATAATTAGCAACTTCATGTTCTCCAGTAACAATGCCAAAATTCATGTTACACTCAATAACTTGCTTGTACAACTGTTGGATCTTACCACCAAACAGAAAATTAGTAGTTGTGAATTTGACCTCAATATTCTTGTCATATTTGTAAAGCTTCCTCAAATAGTAAAATATGACATCAATATGCTGCAAAATATAAACAATAATTGAATCAAATAAGAAACAAATATAAACACTATATTGTAAACGCAAACTAAGATTCAAAAGTGCACAAATAGATAATCATCTTCCCCTCCTCTAAGAAAAACTTTACAAATTATTCAAACAATGAGAAGTGGGTTTTGGTTAGGACAAAACACACCGATTCACGTAATGATGTTGCTATGTAGCCCAATATAAACAACAAGTAAGTACACTCTAATTTAAACTACACACTTCACATTCAAAAGATTAAAAATAATATTCCATAGCAAAACATAAAAAGTCTATATGATTAAAGGTTATACATACTGCTCCAACCATAAAAATTGCTACCCACAAACAATTACTATCTCCTAAATTTTCACCAAAATATATAAACCCAAATCTTTAAATCTTAAAAACAATGAAAAGGGTTGAGAACAAAATACAAAGATGAAGAAAAAATAGACACATAGTATATTTTTACGGAAGTAATTCTAAAAAGTAACATCAACTATTGTATAAGTGAATGGAAGAATAATGGTTAAATATTTACAATATCAATAAAAGCTAACTAAAATTAACGTGGAAAAGAGGAGAAAAAAAAAGGAAAAACTCACCCACTACCCAATAAACTCAAATAACTTCTCATAGAATAACGTGGGCTAAAATATGCCAATTTCAATTTTAAAAAAGCTTTTTTTGTTATAAAAATAAAAAGGGCTAAATATTGCCAATAAATAAAAAGAGATTACATGCTGTGCCATTTCGTTCCCCATTTTTCCATGAAAGCCCAATCAAAATATTGGACTTGCAAGCAGCCCAACCCATATTTACAGCCCAATAAGATGATGGCAAATATGTAAATTAAGGATCGAAAACTACTTAACCCTTTGATAGCGGACTCCATAGATTTTCTCTCTCACTTTTTCGGGTCGAAGTTCCAATTTCTCCGATCCTCTCTCTGATTCCCCATCGCTATTCGTCTGACGTTAGGTATTTTAATTTTTTCGTATTTTAGTTCGATTTCCCTTTTTGTAGTATTATAGGGTTCATCAATGTTTTCAATTGCTGCAATGATGTAGTTTTTCTAGGGTTTCAGTTGATGTGTTTGTGTGTTTCTCGTTTTGTATTAGCTTAATCTTATGGTTGATTCCTTCGTTTCATGTTTATTTTTGCTTTTACCATTGATATTGAGCTGCTTGCTGTTAGGAGATTAGTATTGTTGTTATGCTGGTGGTAATGATGATCATCAACTCTACCTCAATTGAAAACTGTTTAGGATCGATGATACAAATCTTACTGATTTACTTGTCATTCCAGTTTAGGTTTTAGGGTCCTTTGTAAACAGCCTCGTCATTCCAGTTTGGATTTTAGTTTCCTTCGGAAGCAACCTCTCTACCTCCACGAGATGAGGTAGGGGTAAGGTCAAGTGGGATTTTGCTGGGTATGTTGTTGTTGTTGTGGTGGTGGTGGTAGTAATGATGATCATCAATTCTACCTCAATTAAAAACTGTTTAGGATCAACGATACGAATCCTACTGAGTTACTCGTCATTCCAGTTTGGGTTTTAGGGTCCTTTGTAAACAGCCTCGTCATTCCAGTTTGGATTTTAGGGTCCTTCGGAAACAACCTCTCTACCTCCACGAAATGAGGTAGGGGTAAGGTCAAGTGGGATTTTGCTGGGTATGTTGTTGTTGTGGTGGTGGTGGTGGTGGTAATGATGATCATCTATTCTAGCTCAATTAAAAACTGTTTAGGATCAACGATATGAATCCTACTGATTTACTTGTCATTCCAGTTTGGGTTTTAGAGTCCTTTGTAAACAGCCTCTCTACCTCCATGAGGTAGGGTCATTCCAGTTTGGATTTTAGGGTCATTCGGAAACAACCTCTCTACCTCCACGAGATGAGGTAGGGGTAAGGTCAAGTGGGATTTTGCTGGGTATGTTGTTTGTTGTGGTGGTGGTGGTAATGATGATCATCAGTTCTACCTCAATTAAAAACTGTTTAGGATCAACGATACGAATCCTACTGATTTACTTGTCATTCCAGTTTGGGTTTTAGGGTCCTTTGTAAACAGCCTCTCTACCTCCATTAGGTAAGGGTCATTCCAGTTTGGATTTTAGGGTCCTTCGGAAACAACCTCTCTACCTCCACGAGATGAGGTAGGGGTAAGGTCAAGTGGGATTTTACTAGGTATGTTGTTGTTGTTGTCTTCATCATCATTAGTTAGGGTTGTCTATATGAATACTGTAGCAAATCTGGGCTATTCCATCCCATTTCGTTCCTATTTCAGTACATGTTTGTGTGTTTATATGGTATTTTTTCTTCTTCTTTTACACTAGCTTAATATATAGATTCCTATGGTAGTTTCCTTCGTTTCATGTTTATTTTTGCTCTACCATCGATATTGAGCTGCCCACACTCACGAAAGAAGATTTTGATTCAGGCTTTTGAATTTATTAATATTCTTGTTGTCTTTGTTATTATTGTGATTATCATCATCAATTCTACCTCAATCGAAAACTGTTTCGTATCAATGATGAGAATCCTGCCATTCCACTTTTACCCATTTTTTGTTCCAGCTTGGGTTTTGAGTGTCATCCTCATCATCTGCTTCATCACCTCAATCCTAAATGAGTTGGATCTATCTATGAATACGCTACTCGACCCCATTTTGTTCCTATTTCAGTTGATGAGTATTTTGTTTTAGTTATTATTGTTGTTCATAGAATGTAGTACTTATTACTATTATTATCAACAATGTGATAGTCCAACTCTAGTTGGATCAGCACTATGAATCGTCCCTATTTGTTTGGAATTATTTGTGCCCATTTCATTCCAATTTCAGTTTCTGAGTAAAATTTATATTGTATTGGATAGATATTGTCTTGAGACCCAGAAGATATGACGACGGCAGCTAGACCTACGTGGGCACCTGCTAAAGGTGGCAATGAACAAGGTGGAACCCGGATATTTGGTCCATCTCAAAAATACTCTTCAAGAGACATTGCAGCTCACACAACATTAAAGCCCAGGTTAGTAATCCTATCTTCTCTTGCCCTTTCATTTTCATGTTTGTTTGACTTTTAAGGAGCTTTTTTGCTTATATTTACAATGTGCATGGAGAAATTTTATACTAGGTGTTGTGTTACCAAGTACAGGAGATACGGGCTTGTGCAACAGTGCAATTCTTTGAATTAGTTAGTTTTCGGAAGTCATGTCATTGAGTATGATTTGGAGCTGTTGGATGATAGAATTATAGAATTGTGATAGTAAAATTGTTAATATCTTGATGTCCCTATGGTGATGTATCTATAACTGAGATACAGGGATAAATCTATGATTTTACTTTAACAGAGTTGTCTGTCAAGCTGATTTTGTTTAACATGGTCCATAGCCAGTAGGATTCTAAAATTATTATCAATAAATATTATATTTGGGAATTTTTGTCAGAAATTTGGGGATAAGATTTAACTTTGTCAGAGTGTTATTGAGAGGCAAAGGGATATAACTTTGATCTCTAATTCTGTGTTACATATATTTTATCCAAGCCCTAACAAAATAAATTAGTTCTGACCATCTGACTGAAGTGGGTTGGAGTCTTTGCTCCCTTACTGGTCATGGATGTATCCATAATTAACGTGCAGTCTATGGATTTTTCATGGCTCAGACAACCTATTTCAGTAAGATATCTAAGTTGCATTGCTGAGCTATTAAGTGTGCATGTGTATGCAATTGCATTTTATATTCTGAAATTGTTAAATACTCCCTCTGTCCCAATTTATATGACTTACTTTCCTTTTTGGTCAGTCCCAAAAAGAATGACACATTTCTATATTAAGTAACAATTTAACTATAAAATGTCTATTTTACCCTTAATAAAATGATTTACAACCACACAAATTTCTATCATTCATTCTGGACCACAAGTTTTAAAAGTCTTCCTTTCTTTCTTAAACTTCGTGCCGAGTCAAAGTACCTCACATAAATTGGGACGGAGGGAGTAGTAAAATGCACGAATCGCTATAGGAAGGTTGTAGTCAAAAGCCAAAAGCATAAATAGCGCCAAGTTTGTTGGAGATTTGAGCCCAAAGTGCATTAAAGCACCAACTAAGAAATAAAAGAAGTGCATTACATGGTCTTCAACAAGCTTCAAGGCTTAAGCGCGCCTTTAACAACACTGGTCATTTTGAAGCTGGGGTAGTTACTTATTTGAAGACTCGTAAGATTGCTCTACCAACTTTTCTCCAAGGGCTTAGTTCACGTGGCAAAGGTTGAGACCTGCGTCATGCAAACTGAGCCTGGTATTAAGTAGAGGGGCGAGCCCGTTATCCCCGAGTTTCGAAGATTTTGGTTGGTCCTACTGTTTTCTTGATCATAAGAAAAGAATTGCTCAACCAATCTCTGAGAGTAAGAAAGATTGGTGTATACATGTTAAAACTATAAAAAACATTCTTAAATGTGCTTCCTGTATCAGAAAATGGTAAGACTATTTTTCATTTGAGTCTGTTGGAACATTATGAGCCAAAAAGTATGATAACGACCCATGTGCATCATGGTTTTCCCAAAGAAAAGCATCAGCAATTTATAATTATTCTAATTTTATTTAAAAGCTAAAAGATTTTTGATAAAGATTTACAAGCTAAAAGATTTTTTGATAAAGATTTACAAGCTAAAAGATTTTTTGATAAAGATTTAAAAGCTAAAAGATAACATGATGTGTCTGTCAGAACCAGCCAATACTCGGATTACTCCTACATTGATTGATGAATTTCCTGGAATGTGAAATTGAGATGTTTATCACTTGAGTAACTTTTAATTAGTTGTTTCTATTCTATTGCCTGATTTCGAATTGTTAATCTCTTTTCCTGTTTTCATGTATGTCACAGAAAGGAAGGACAAGACACCCAGGATGAGTTGCAGAAGAGGAACCTCCGGGATGAGTTGGAGGACCGTGAACGGAGGCATTTCTCTAAAGATAAGGGTTATAATGGTAATTAAAGTCTGCACATCCCCCCCAACCCCAAAGTGAGTGTGTGTGTGTGTGAGAGAGAGAGAGAGAGAGAGACCTGCCCACAGACTTGTTAATTATTGCTGACTTTGTATTGTTATTTGATTGTAGATGACAGAGATCGTCGGAAAGGTAGTCAACTCTTTGTGGAAGGTGAGTGGCTGTTTTTTGGTTGGATTAATCTTGGATTCCTGACAATTTTTTCATTAACTTTCTTTATCAATTGACAACATTGTTGTTGCAGGGGCTAAACGAGAGATTGAAGATCGTATTGTTCCACGGAGTGCTGATGCTGATGATGCCGATGTGGATGTTAAGAGTGGTGATGAGAGGTTTGTAACCTTTCCTGCACTTGTGCAGATATATTATTTTTGATTTATAACTTACGGATTAATGTTCTCACAGAAGGCACATCGTTTGAATAAACATCTTTCTTATACTAAAACTAAACTGTTTTCTTACGTCATGTACTAAACTAATATTACTATTGCTTTCTTGATGTGGTTTCTTCTCTTGTCTCGAATGTGCTGTTAAACTTTAATAGTAATTGTGAGTCAGGAACTTATAAGTTGTTTCTATGTTCTCTGAGATTAGTGATGACGATGACGACGACGACGACGATGACGAAGATGATACAGAAGCTCTCTTGGCAGAGCTTGAACAGATAAAGAAAGAAAAAGCAGAGGAAAAACTTCGGAAAGTAAGCATAACTAGATGATGCTCATTTACTTGTAATTTTTGCTAATCAATTTCGTCATGACGTTATGTGATGGGATTTTATCTCATCTAAAAGAGTTAATACCAGTTTCACATTCATGTAAAAAGCCAACCAGTCATATGATCTTGTTTAACTTGTTTATCCCCTTGTAATTGTGTTATTTTGGCAGGAAAGGCTAGAGCAAGAAGAAGAGCTTAAAGTAAAAGAGGCAGAATTATTGAGAGGAAACCCTCTGTTAAACAACAACCAGCCAACAACTTTCAGTGTGAAGCGAAGGTTTGTCGTCTTTAAATCTCGCTTTCATAAGATGCTATAGCTATGATTTTTTTTTGGTCCCATCAGATGTGCTTCTCTGTCGTCAGGTGGGATGATGATGTGGTTTTCAAGAACCAAGCTCGCGGTGAAATGAAGGCAGCTAAGCGCTTCATCAATGACACTATCCGGAATGACTTTCACAGGAAGTTTCTTCATAAATACATGAAGTGAAACATGTCTTTGAAAAATGCTCCAAGAGTTGGCAAATATTATATGTCCATTCATGCTTTTACCATGCAGTGTACCTTCAACCTAATCGAAGCAAATTGAACTGTTTTGTTTTGCTATTGTAGTGTGTATGTAAACAAACACTAAATGACTTCTCAAGTTTTATGTTACTATACGTTTTATGATGTTGAATATGCATTTGCTGTGATTAGTGTCGGCAAAATGAGCCCATATTTTGGTAACCCGCTCATATTTAGTGGGTTGGGTGAGTGATTTTTTATGTGGGTAAAATATGGGTTGATACCCATATTCAACCCATAAAAATATGGATTAGTCAAATGGGTTAAGCTTCTAACTTTTATTTGATATCAGTAAAAATATTGTAATTTCTCTTGCTTTTTATGTTCTTCTATAGAATTAATTATTTTTCACTATAATTGAAAAGGTGAAGTCTTTGGCCCTTCAAAAATATATATTTTAAATGTACATTTCTTTTGTTACTTATAATTATATTTTTTTATTTGTTTATTTTATATTGGATAATACATAATAGTGTAAAATAAACAAATCATGTACTCAGTTTTGGCATTGCTTAAAGTGCATTAAGCATGTTTTAGTCCTAAAATGCAAATATTCATTTACTTTGAAATTAAAAATATTTTCTCCTTGTTATTACATAATTGTATTTTATATTGGAAAGTTAGAGGATTTTTTTTTTACTTTTATGATACAATAAAACTAAATGAAGCATTTTCAACATTTTTCATCTAAAAAAAAGACTACAACATTTCTCCATGTTGAATTCTTAAGTAGAGTACTATTTACTCATGAAAATATGGGTAAACTAGTATTTTACCCAACCCATTTCTTACCCAATCCATTTTTACCCATATCAAATATGAGCGGGTTGAATTATTACCCATTTTATGTTGACCTATTTTCAACCCGCCCAAATTTGACCTAACCCGCCCATTTGCCACCACTAGCTGTGATTAAACCAAATGACTCTTTTTCATTAGCACCAAAAGTCCTAAATTTCCCTGAGTTTTGCAATTATGTATTAGGGTTTCTTTTTTCAGCAAGAACCAAGAAGATGAGTACATGCATTTCAAATTCAGGAGGGGGATTGACACCACAGGTTAATGAGTTCGGTAGAACTCAGTAGCTTGGCCTAAATTTTATATTTGTATTCAAGTGATCTACTTAATAAGTACTTATATTCTGAATTCAGAACCTATAAACTTAAAATCTTAGATCTGTCAGCCATATCAAGAAGCTAATGATCTCTAGCACATATTAGGAAGTGTCCTATCAAAGACATGAGAAGTGGTAGAAATGATGGTAAATAACTCACTCTACATACAATCAAACAAATATTCATAAAAATGATGCTACACATAAATATACAGTAACTGAAGAGCTTGCAAATTACACACATATTGACAGATTTTGGGGACATACATAAGACCTCGAGCCAATTTGCAGAAAACACAGACAGGCCATCACAGGGAGAACCAAATCCAACCATTGATCCGTGAAAAAAAGATTCAGTGTTCTATTGTAACACTTCGCGAATCAAGCTAAGTTGCAGCATAGGAGACTTGAGTTATTTCTGTTTATTCCTTCTGTGCTTCCAGTACAAACTCAACATACAAATCTTTGATTCCAATCACAACAGTAGTTATTAGCGGCCCCATGATCGCTCCCTGCATAACAAGACCATGAACAACTAATATCAAGCAACGCCACCTTAAAACGAAATAAGTAACTCATTTTCTTTCTAATGCTTTTGGGAAAATCACATGCATTTCTTCAGCTAACTGATCATCCACTTATCTTTACTTGCTTGGCGAAATAACAGAGGTGTGCAGCTGAGTGCCGCTACATAGGAAGATATGGAGGTCGAGGATTAGGGTAGAAGGTCAATAGATAGTCGAGTGTTGTCTAGTTCAGTTATCATATATGTGCTGCTACTTGCTCTCTTCCTAATTGTTTTCAGCATGACTCATTCTTTACTATATTAATGACATACTTACATGAGTCGAGTGTCTATCGGAAATAGTCTCTCTACCTTCACAAGGTAAGGGTAAGGTCTACTTACACTCTACCCTCCCTAGATCCCACTTTGTGGTACTACACTCTGTATGTTATTGTTGTTGATGGTGGTGTCAAGCCGAGCTTACACATACCTCAACGATTCCATTGTGTACCTGCTACTTCTCACCCGCACAGGTATATCTCCACCAAGGCTCAGACAGATGTGGGATTTGAGCCCTGGTCTCCAAGGTTTTCACTCATGACCACTAGGCTACACCCCTTAGTTTACGTACTTTTTCTCGTGGTCAAGAGGAGGAAGAAGTGAAGAAAATACTTCCAACATATGCTAACAAAAGAGATGCAAAAATTTATGAGAAATTCAAGAGATGAAAATGCTTGTTATTTACCTCAATTGCTGAAGAACAGAGTGTCATTCCGCCAATGATGCTGAGACCAGTGAGATATGCACTATAGCCAGGGATATCATCTTGAATTTCAGAAGTACCATAATCCATAAGCACAAGATGGATAAAGGATAAGCTAATCGCCAATACATATCGACCTTCAAACACCAACTGTAATGCTGTTGGGATAGTTGAAAGCCACGCAGGGAAAATCGGAAACAAAGGACTTATAAATGCAAGAACAGTCGACATGTACAGAAAATGTATCGAGTATAATCTGAACAAGAGCCAAGTCAGGCATCCCTGAAAGAATGCAATCTCAGCAGTTGCTAAAATGACACCAGAAATTGCTTTATCAAGAACTTCAACACATCGAGTCCTTGCAGAATGCGGTATTGGAAGCATACATATTACTTGTTCCGTTGCTCCTCCAGACTCCGATGTGATAAGATAATAAAGTACCCAAAAGAACACCATCGACTGAGACACGAAATTGAAAAGACCTGCAGCTCCTGAAAGTATAGAATTTCCAATCGAAAACATGACCTGCATACTGCTACCTAAAAGAGAAGTGCTAGTAATAATTACTCCTTGCATTACATTTGCTCCTTGAAGGGCAAATCCTTTTGCCTTTTCAACCAAGTCCTTTCTAGTGATCAACAATTCCTTGAAAAACGCATCCATTTCTGTATACATTTGTCTCCATTCGCGATCCTTAATCCTCCTTTTTATGCTCATGATCTTCTTAGTGTATCTAGAGCGGGATGACAAAGCTGTAGACCGCTCAAAAGAGCTATTCACCGGAGTTGTGATAAAATGTTTGATCCCGGAAACAAACTCAGTCATATTATACTGCTTAGCATAGCTATCTAGCTGGTAGAATACAGTCTCATACAATTGACTACTGTACTTATCGACCATAGCGGGGACATCATTTTCATCCATCCATTGTTTGACACCAATTTTCTCAGCATAATTACTCTCCTCTACACGTGATTTCAACGCAATAACAGCGTCTTTTCCTTCAACTCCAATCTCATAAGAGAAGAAAATGGTACCTGCCAAAGAACCTACACTCAGCCCAATAATAAGTCCTACTGCCACAATGGTTTTCAATCTTTTCAATATCCCTCTAGTGAAGAAAGCAGATATCGATAGTCTACGAAAACTATGACTCCTGAAAGATGTTACTGCATCCATTGTAGACTCCACACTGTTAACAGGAAACATAAATCCCAATGCAAGAAGAGCAACTGATCCAAAGAGACCAATTTGCTCATATGCCATCACAAAAACCCAAAATGAAACTAGCCACCTCAACAACATAAAAAATCCACTTCGATTACGCTTCAAAGTACTATCTTTCGGTCTCCGTAGAACAACTCTGAAAATCATTTCCCTAATATCAACAAGGGTTCCAACAAAAATCCTGAATACAGAAACGGGGATCGCCAAAATGGTCTCTGTAAGGCCTAGCTTTAAAGGTTCAGACCAAAATGCAACAAGGGCTTGCTGAATTCCTCTTAAAGGTATTGAACATAGCACAGCCCACAAAATAGGCCTTAAGTATTCTTCAAGCAATTTGCCAACAGCATAAAGAATGAAAATTGTGAAAGCAAGACCAGCATGAGCCATCGCTATATAGAGGGCGAAACGTACCTGTTGAAACACAGTATAATTAAGTTTTTAAAAATGCGCTCTCTCTAACATATTAAGCTTTTATACAAGATGACCACACTAGTAGAGCTAGGGGGAACAAGGAAGTTCATCCAAACCTCTTTCGCCAGAGAATTATACTAGATAAGAATTATTTTTTATGTATATTTTTATAGATGTTGAATTCACTTGACCTATATTTAACTTTTTATATTTTGAATTGCTTCGGTGAAAATATTGACTCTTCCATTTGGACATTTCAACATTCATAAAGAAATGAACTTTGAACGTGACTCAACTCCAAAAGCTAGCAAACATCAGTCTCCTCATAGTGTAAGTTGATACAACCTTAGGAGAACCACACCCGAAAGCTCTAGCTATTGAGGTGGGAGAGCTCAAGGCTATATAAGCTCCACTCCCAACTCCCCATTTAGCAGATGTGGAGCTCAAGTCTCATAACAGTAAGCTTTAGGATGAGATGATCACATACTTATCAAAAGTAATTTTCAACCTATATACACAATATTATTTCTACCACCCTTCAGTCTATCCATAACTATAACCTTTTTAGATGAGTGATCACACACTTCAACAATATACCTGAGCTTCATCTGATAAAAAGTTGTGATCTTTTTTCTCTTTGGCTTCTGGGGTTTTGGGAGGAGTCTGTGGGGAGCCATGGTTCTTTGTTTTCTTCATTGCAGCAGATCTAAACATTTCTTGCCATGGTGGACTAGAGTTACTTGATTCAGTCATGGGGTCAGAGTAAGCTACCAGTTCCATTAACAAGACACAATCTTTAACACTGGTTTTCACTCTTTATAGTCAAATAAAAATCAAATCTTTGACACTTCCCTCAGACATTAAGGTACTGAATTCCAAGAAAATTTGGAATCTAACAAAGAAAGAATGTTGGAATTTTTCAGGAGAATCAACAATATGCTGACAACACAAGTTGCAGAGTAAATGAATGAAGAAGAATTTTGATTCCAAGAATTGGAGTCCACTGACCACAAATGATTGTCATTCTCTCTCTCTCTTTTTAAAATTTGATTTCACATTCCGCGTTCGATATCATATTAAAACTTAAAATAATTTAAATTTGCACCATTTAAGAGAAGACTTCCTACCAACCATCATTTATTTGATTCTAAAAATATTCAAGAAAATCAATCATGTCATTGAAAATAAAATAAAAAATTTATAATTAAATTATTCTATTTGGAAAAGAGCCTGACCACAAGAATCTTATTATACTCAGCCTTACCATAATTTTTTTGGAATCAAATAGCTCACTTAAATTAAAATGAAGCAAAGTAATATTTGGTTGGTTCTCTTGATTTTTTTGGAATCAAATATCTCACATAAATTAAAATGAAGCAAAGTAATATTTGGTTGGTTCTAGTGATGGGGCCTGCCTTACTTACTTTTGCTATCACTTGTCTCCTTAACTTTTTTTTGTCCATAATTCATTATATCAAGCACATGTTTCTTGTGGGTGTGTGCTATAATGGAAGTATTTAAAGTTAAGCTTGACTATTAATGTTTTTATTTTTACTAGTAAAGAAGGCCCGGGCACCAACATTAATAAAGTTATATTGTTACTCTCTCCGTCTCATATTAGATGAGAATCTTACTAAAAATATTTTTTTCATATTATTTAAGCACTTATTAAATTAGGATAGAATTAATTAATTCTTTTCCATTTTACCCCTACAATTAATATGACCATTCCTATATTGTATGTGTATTTTTTGTAACTCATTTTAATGTGCATTGATATAAACAAAAGGCAAAATGGTGAAGTCTTTCAATGTATTAATGATTTCTTAATCACCGTGTAAAGTTGGAAGTGCCCATCTAATATGGGACGGAGGGAGTATAGTTTATGTATTGTTATAAAATTAGTAAAGATTGTTATAATATATTTTGCTCATAAGTGAGCTAATATAGAAACTTATTTGTCATTTGTCTTTTTAATTTCAATTTTAAATAGCAAATAAATGTAGCGATAAGATTGAGGGTAGAAATGAAGCATATCTTTCTAAATTTAAGTAAAAATAAACAGAGTAGAAGTAACATTAGGGTTATCGATAGGACAATTCATTTGGTTATTTTAAAAAAAATTATATCATTAAATTTTTCGGCTATTTTATAATGTATAACCAAAATTAAAATTTTAAAATCATCCCAATCCTAATTTATGTGACACAAACAGTACAAAAATTAGTCTTTTTTTTGTTGTCTTGTAGATATTTTAAGTTATTATTTATTGTAAATTATAGTACTTTTTATTAAAGTTTTTAATAACATATGTTACTTTTTATGTTTGAGAGTTAAACCAACTTTTTTTTATATGTCTTTTAATTTTATATGTGTTTTGTCCTTTTTCATTTTTAAAAACTAATACTCTCTCCATTTTATTTTATATGTCATTTCTTTTTATAAATATATTGGTTATTCCCTCTTTTTATTGGAACACATGTTGACTTGTGGTGCTTGGTTATTCCCTCTTCTTATATACTAATATTTGTTTTTATTAGTGCATGCTTATTTCTTTGAATTTGGTTGATGGACTTCGATTGATTTATGATTATATTGGTTCATTGAAAACAAAGAAAGTACTTTGTGAATATTACTACATGCTAATTTTTTTAAATCGGATTGGATGGATATTGATTGACTTGAAATTTGATCAGTTCATTAAAAATAATTTTGTGATAAATACTTAACATGACAAACATCTTTTCTTTTAGCGTTTCGAGGTTATTAAGCATAAATTCATGATTATGGACATTTGTGTGTAAATGTACATGTTAATTTTTCTTCATTTGGTTGACTGACTTCATTTGACCAGAAATGTAATTGCTCATCGAAAATAACCTAGTGACTAATACTCATAGGGATAAACATCGTTTTTTTTAAATATTTTTAGAAGAATGAAATATAAATTCTTGATTACGAGCATCTTTTATGTGTATTAGTACATGTTGAATTTTTTGAATGAGGTTGATGTATTCTAATTGACTTGAAATTTGGTTAGCCCATTAAAACGATCTTGCAATCAATTCTTACCATGATAAACATTGATTTTTTTTTAGTGTTTTGTGATCATGAAACACAAATTCATAAATTATTGTGTACATCCTGATTCTCGTTAATTTAATTGACCAACTGTCCATAAAAAATGACTAATGACCAATACACACTATGACAAACATTGTTTTATAAGCATAATTTAAAAGGAATTAACTACTCCATTCGTTTAAAAAAAGAATGATCTCATTTCCTTTTTAGTCTGTTTAAAAAAGAATAACCTCTTTCTTTTTTTTGATAACATTTTACTTTCAGCTTTTCATGTGACATGTTTAAGACCACAAGATTAAAAGACAATTTTGTACATTTGAATAACTTTAATTTAGGATCACAAGATTCAAAAATCTTCTTTATTTTCTTAAATTTCGTGTCAAGTCAAATCAGATCATTCTTTGTGAAACGGAGGGAGTATTAAATATCATTGTGCGCTTATTTTAAAATCATTTTTGACAATTTACACAAATTTTTCTCTGCGTAATGGGGATCGAATCAACGTACGAAATTCACCAAAACGCTTACATCAAGCTAATCCTCCATGCATCAAAGCACAAAACTTCCGCCGTCAACGGCGTCCTCCTCGGCCGTATCTCCGGTGACTCCGCCGTCGTCGAAATTGTGGAGTCCGTTCCGTTATTCCACTCTCAAATTGGCGTCCTTCCTCCTCTCGAAATTGCCCTAATTATGGTCCGTCACTAAACTCCATACTGCATATTAACTGCGCTAAACTGAAATTTTATACAATTGTTTTGTTTGAATATATTATGTATATACATAGTGGCGGATATAGGATTTGAAGCTTATGCGGTACTTCAACGACCTCAAGTTAATATACAATAATAACTGCGTTCATAGTCAAATATGTATTGATATTTAGTGGATTTGTTAATGCATGTATAGGTTCTGTGCAAAAGCTACTGGATTGCACATGTATACATACATGCTATGAGCTGATTTAAAATCTCGGATCTGCCTCTAAGTAGGAATCAGGATTTGAAGTTTATGAGTTCCTATAATGACTTCAAGTTAATATACAATCAAATTTTTATATATATACACAGAGACGGATCGAGGATTTGAAGTTTATGAGTTCCTATAACGACTTCAAGTTTATATACAATCAAAATTTTATAGATGATTTGTTAATGAATATATAGGGTCTGTGCAAAAGCTACTAGATGGCACATGTATATAGGACATACTCTGAGCTGACTTAAAATCTCGGATCTGCCTCTGAGAGTGTTGTGTATTTTTTGTTTAAATATAGGTTTGTATAAATGTGTAAATGAAACTAGAACTAAAATTGTTACAGAGGAGTAAGGGATATGGTGATACTTTGAACTTGCTGACTGAAAATCATTGATCTGCTTCTAAGTTTCTGCATTTTAGTTAGGATGCTAATCCTGTTTTATTTGGACAGATAGAGGAGTATTATTGTGATAAAGGTTTAAGTATTGTTGGTTACTTTCATGCCAATGAGAGATTCGATGATTCCGAGCTAGGAAGTGTTGCTAAGAATATTGCAGACCATATCTACAAATATTTCCCTCAAGCTGCTGTGCTCCTGGTACCTTTTTGTTGTTTGAACATTTTTTTGTCTTTCGTATGTTTATTGAAAAGTTTGGATCTTTGAAATGTTGTTAGGAAAATTCTTAAGCTGAGAGTTTTACCGTTTCAGCTGGATAACAAGAAGTTTGAAACTTTATCAAAAGAGGGGAAAGATAGGAGTCCTGTAATGCAGGTCAGTACATACAAATTTTAACATTTTTCCTTGTTCATCTGATAATCGATGACAAAGTTCAGAGTCCTCAACCAATCTTTGGTGACTTTCCCAATTTCTTGATTGGAAGTGGAAGGTTCTTGCTATGGAGTAACCTCACTTGTCAGAATTCAACTCAAACTGGGAGTTTTATGGGATTGGCTACAGGAAAATCATAGCCAGTCTTCTGTTCATATGATAAAAAATCTAGCTGTTTTTTCCCCATTTATATCTAACAACTCAGACTAATATGTAGCCTCTATGTTGCTCGGACTCTTCAAAAATGCCAACGGGTGCGTGTCGGATTCGCCAAAAGTAGTGTATTTTTAAAGAATCCGAGACTGGTGCGGCATCAAAAGTGAAGAGTCCGCGCAACTAAGTGTAGCCTCATGATAGAATTAGCTGCTGCACTGTAGTCTCATTGATTTATTCTTTTTGTTACTAGTTGATTGCTGATGGTAATTACTCATTTCCTTGTGCTAGTATTACTTTTGATCATTTCGTAATCGTTCCCCTTATATTGTTCTTTTATGGATGATGGACAAGTAACAATTCATCCATCTATCATGTGGTTTCTGGTGATGAGTTCTAGTGGGACGGACACAAAAAGAAAGTGGGCCACATAAATCGGGACAAAGGGAGTAATTTGTATAGAAGTGTCAGGTCTCCTTAGGATGTATGTCTTGGTTTATTCTATCTTCTTGCACAAAAGGTTTACCCTTTATTTGAGCATTCAGGGATCAGTATTTTGGTTTCGATACATAGGTTCTTGGAACATTGGTATGTTACTGATTATCTCTTCCAACTTCTTCTAAGCACTTCATTTTAAGTAGAAATGGAAAACCAGAGATGGTGCTCTGTCTCATACTTGGCATGTATAACAGAAGTGAAGTGGATAACCTTTCAATGTTGAAGTTGTAATTAGCGATTTAGAGAACATTTTGCCAGAGTTGCCTGAGCTTTTTAAATACCATGAAAGTTGCATTGCTTTATCTGTATTATTCTACAGATGGTGGTGTATCTATTTCAGTTTTACTTCAGTTCGACTTGCATGACCTTTCGGTGAGGGCTATTTTTGGTAATGGTTGTCACTGAATAAATGGCTAACATGCTGGATTTTGAGATTTGCTGGTTTTCTATATCCTCTGAAGTAGAACCATGGTTTCCTTGGGATGTCTAGAGTTGCTTGCCCAGATTTGACCATTCATGCATTTTGTTCTGGCCTTTCAGAAGACTCAGTGTGCTCTAGTAGGCTTTTCGTTACATGACCTAATTCTTTGAGGTTTTTTGCTTGCATTTTGCATAGGCTAAGAGTTAGATTGAGAAAATATGTGTCTCTATATCAACTTTAATTGAAAACTAAAGCCTGTTCTACTATGTCTAGTTGATAGTTTGTAAAAGCTATTACCATCCAGATATTTGTTGTCACCTGGTTGAATTTGATAATATTAAACAGTGAGCTGTAAATACTTAATATGAAGGAACATTTAACTGTGCTTGGCTCATTTGTGTGAATGGGACAGGAACTATTTGACATATTTCAGGAAAAGGGCCTTAACATGCTTAACAATAATTGGATGTTAACCCACTTGTTTTTGAACAGTTTGTCAATTGTTTGTTTTATATGATTAATGGTACACCAATGGAATGCACCCATGCTAGTTCTAGTTCAAGTAAGCATTGCACTATTAAACATCTTTCAGGAAGACTCGATATAACATGTTCTCCAGCTTATTGATATTGCCCTGTGCCTAGGCCATCCCGATATTATCTGTTATTACCAGTTTTCCAATTTTCCATGAAATACAAGCAAGCAGAGTGGTCTAGATTTTGCTCCACGTTTATTTTGGTCCCCCTTACATATTGGTAAGGATCCGATTTTTCATAACTTTCACGTTGTTCTTGGTAGTTCTCTGATAGTTTACTCGTCTAGCTAGTATACTATAGTTCTCTTCACTATTGTTGTCGGTGCCTCTAAAAGCAGTTCCATTAATGTAGCCTTTTGCTTCATGTTCAGCTTTACACCAAGGATGCATCTAGGAGCTGGAAACTAGTGGGATCAGATGGAAGCAGCCGTTTGAAAATTAAACAGCCATCAGCAAATGTCATCCTCCTAGATTACATTTCATCGGGGAAATGGAAGGATATTATAGATTTCAATGACCACCTTGATGATATTAGCAAGTAAGAGCTTTACCCTGTAGATTGATTGAACTCGCAATATCTGCATTCTTTCTAAGAGATTCACATGTGTTTTTGCTTTTGCTCATCAAATTGTTAGGGACTGGGTGAACACAGAGCTCTTCAATTGAAGTTGCTATGTGTATCTCATGTTGTTTCCGTCTCTGAAGGGAAAGGATCCATCACTTTGGTTATAACATTGTGATCCAATAGAAGGCCGCCTGCAGGTTATATTCTCAAGAAAAGGCGATACATTTGTCAAAAGTGCTTCCAATCTTTTAGGAAGACTCGATATAACATGTTCTCCAGCTTATTGATATTGCCCTGTGCCTAGGCCATCTCGATATTTTCTGTTTTTACCACTTCTCTGATTTTCCATGAAATACAAGCAAGCAGAGTGATCTAGATTTTGCTCCACGTTTATTTTGGTCCCCCCCTTATGTAGTTTCATGCACATCATTTAGTTATCGCGTTACTTCCCAACCCCAACTTGTTGGTACTGAGGCATCGTCGTTTTACTGTCTTGGTGTAATGAGGGAGGAAAATAGTAAATTCTCAAAGTTTTAGCAAGTCCAAGTGGAAAAAAAAGAGATGCTGAAATTTTACTTTAGTGTGATTGTGGAACTAATGAAAACATGATTATGGGATGAAATTCACGTTCTAACACTGACTAATGTTTGTGTTTCTCTAATTCCATTTAGTTGCCCACAACCCTCAAGATGAAGTGTTTGTTTTTAAAGTTCGTACCCGAGATTTTTGATTAAGGATTGAAGAATATTTGCCATAACTTTTGATGGAAAAAAATAAATTCAACTATAAGCAAACACACACACACATATATATATACATAATTTAGTGATATTCTTGAGAAATTATGAAATCCATCGACACTTTCAACCTTCCTCTCTCGTTGGCCTCTTTCCTCCCTCTTGAGGTCATTTAGTAAAATCTCTCCTTCTCTATCTCACCTTGTAATCTTTTTTCTCCAGAAAAATTCCAAAAAAGTAGAGCAAACTAGTTTTTAGGTAAATTGTTGGACAAGTTTTTAGGTCTTGATTCTCTCAGGTTTGACGTTTCTTAGAACTAATCGATCAAAATTGTGGTGGGATTGGGAGGCAATGAATGTGTCATTGCATATTTGATACTCGATACATGTATTTAGACTGTATCTATACGCTTATTTGATGAATGTACTAGTGCATATTTGATACAAGATACATGTATCTAGATAGTCACATCTTCTTTTTCTTCTTCCTAAGTATGTATCTATGTATATTTGATACTGGATACATGTATCTAGAAATGTATCTATGTATCAGATTCATATATGGTACTTAAAAAATGAAATTGTAAAACACAAATACATTGTAAAATATAAATACAAAGAGGGAGAGAGTAAAGCTAGAGAGTAGAGAGGTCATCGAGAAGGGAAGGAGAGAAATTGTTGCAATGCTCTATCTAAGCTAGTGAGATATAATGTATCCGGCTTGAACTTAGGACACTTTATATAAATATTGAATATCTCGTTTCATGTAGTGATTCAGAAATATAATACCTTACTTTATAAAGCTTTCTCTTTTTAATATATATATACTAATAAATACGATCATAATGAAATAGAATAAACATTTATAATTTATATCTTTAAACATGATCACGCTTGAAAGCAACAATTCTTTTTCCAAACGTCATACATCAAATTGTGTATATAAAGAAAAAGATGGTTCTTTTTCAACATGACCCTCCCAAAAAAAAGCTTTATTCAATAATTATGCAATGACAAAATAGCCTTGATTTTGGTTAAATGAATGTGGAAACTTATCCATTGTCAAATGCAATTGGACTTAACTAGATTTAAGTGTTTTTTTATTTAGAAATTATGGAGAAAAAGGGAAAAAAGAAAATAATTACGTCTCTACAACTATAATTATTGCTATTATTACCATCATCATAGTTATGATTCAATTATTCTTATTGGTGATAATAGTAATTCATTAATTAAATTGGAGAGGCAAGAGGTCAAACGATATCATAGCATATTTCTTTTTCTTTTTTTTTTTACATTTAAACTATGAATAAGTGTAAGCTTTGTGTTACTCTAACAAAATTGACGCAGACCATTCTACGTGGTACCATGATAGCAGAAAAAGTGAGATGGTGACAATTGAGAAGTTATCACTAAACACCCTTAATTATCCGAAGAAAAGATGTCAAATGGCAAAATCAAGACCATACCCTCATTTGGCTCCTTGTGGAGTATAGTCCATATCCAAACATCTTACTAAAAAACGGAACAATGTCAATGAAGTTTTAGCTAAAAAAGAGAACGAGAATAAAAACTTCAAGGCTAACATCTTTAATTTCTACTGTATGATATTTAAGATTCACTGATTCAACTTATTTAAATTTGTGTCTTATAAAACTCAACTAGCCTTTTCTAATTTTATTTTTATTTTACTATTCATATATATGTGAATGATTTTTTTTATTTTTTTTACTCTTTCTGTTTGTCCAAATTCTTGTTAGCAAATAAACCTTTATGTTTAACTTAAACCTTCCACACTGCAAATCAATTACTATTATCTTACCAAGATAGACATACAACTTTAAAAAATATTGCACCTAATTTGGACCATAGTCACCATTTAAAAAAAATAAAAAATAAAAAAAATAAAATAAATGATATATATATTATCAAAATCTATCTCCTTGTTTCTTTGGAAAAAATATTTAATTTTGTCCTCAATTACATTATTCTTACTTATGTCATTAAAAAATCGTCTCGTATTCGTTCTTGTCATTAATAGACTTCGAATTTGATGGATTTTACATATTCAAACTCCTTTTAAGAAAAGCTCAAAATTTACTTCTTAGCTAAGTAAAATTTGAAACTAACCTTAAGTTAAAATTCCATTAAAAGATACGTATGAAAATGAGACTTTTTTCTAATGAAATGGATAATATCAGTCAAAGTATAATAATAATAAAAAAATAGTAGTCAAAGTTGCTCAATTTCTTTGACTCTCTTTTACTTCCCTTTAATCCAACAATCAACAGGTTTTCTTAATGTTTGACAGATTATTATTAGAGGAATTTTTTTTTCTTATTTATGTATTTATTAAATTAAATTAAATATAATTTAATATATACTTTGAAACTGAAAGCATGAGAGACAGGTTGGAGACTGTGGTGGCCCATATGTTGATTCAGACTCTTGTCTTTGGGACAAAATACATTGAAAATAATTGAACATAAAAAGCTTAGACACACTGATAAAAATTGCGGTACAGTGATAAAAAAAAATTTATTGTTATTTAGAGGTTTCAAGTTTAACCCCTTTTTCTAAATTCGTCTTTGTTAGAGAGTATTTCATATTCTAATATTAAAAAAATTGAATTAATGGTTAAAGACACATTTGAAGTATCACGTTTTGTGAGTTTTCTACTGAATTGTCAAGTGTTTACTTTCCTATCTGAACTAACTATTTATCACAACACACCTCAACTATCCGTTGTTCCGCTTTCTTATATGAAATTTCACCATCACTCACGTAGGAAAATGGAACAATGGATAGTTAAGGTGTATTGTAATGAATAGTTGATAATAATTCAGGAAACAAAGATGTACACATGATATTTCAGATTAAAAACTCATAAATTTTATAAAAGTTTATGACCATTATCTCAAAAAAATTGAAGCAAATTCAGATTTAATAGGACTGGGCTTGGGTATAGAATAAGGAGAAATTACATAAATATACAACTTAAAATATCATAATCTCTAAAATTCCCTATCGTTTAAGAAATTACAAAAATCTCTTCTCAGATACATATGTATCTCCTCTCGGATACATTTCTATCCTCTTCGTATATATCTTTATCCCCTCTTGTATACATCTCTCCTAAGTAATATATCATTTGCAATGTATCGAACAACCAATGAATATATATGACATGTCGACATGAAAATTTTGAGAGTTTTGTAATTAAGAGAACTTTTGGGTTATGATGTAATTAGTCACAAATATATGAGATTTGTGTTTTGTAAGTTATAGGTGTGTGTATATATATAGATAGACAAACCCTTCGGGGTGGCCCAGTGGTTTGGGCTTGAGACTTTCATGTTAGAGGTAAGTTTGAAACCCGTTGTCAAGTTCGAAACTCGTTGTCAGCGAAAGTAAGGAATTTACCTTCTAGGTCGATCTCGTCGTCGCACGGACTTACCTAATGCGAGTTACCTCTTCTATGTGATTTACGAGCCATTGCATAGGAACTAAGATTTTACCACATGCGTGATTGCGAATTTCCCTTGTCATAAAAAAAAATTATACTATAGATAAACAAGAAAAAGTTCAAACCCCACAACACCCCACCCCACTCCTCTCTTCCCCATACAATTGTTAAGTGCATTTTTTGTTTGGTAAAGTCCCCAAAGCTTCTTTCTACACTTTCAAAAAAAGCACTTCTTTTCTTTCTTCTCTCTCTCCATACAGTTTTCTTTGGAGGTCCCTCTCTCTCTTTATCTCTGTCAACAGTAGTGCTACTAATTCCTCATTGCTAAAGCAGAGAGAGACCCTAAAAAGTTTTGATCTTTGTGACACTTCAGGTACTATTCTTTAGACTACTGTTTTTAATTTTGAAATGGTCCCTGTGTCTTTCTGGATGAGTTTCTTTCATTACTTTGTTTTTAGCATATGGGTCTTTCTGGGGAAGTTATTTGATCCTTTTGGTAGGGTTTTCTTGGAAAAAGCTTATGTCTTGGCACAAGATCTGTGTACTTTTTCATTGACCCTTCTGTATTGCTTTACTTGTTTATCTATGTGGGGTTGTGCTAGTTTTATGCTCTGTGGTGTTAAAATGGCTTTTGGGTGCTGTTGAATGTATGCATTTTTTGATTTGGTGTTCTGGTTCACTTCATGGTTCTAAGAAAAGATTTGGACTTTTGAGGTAAATTACTGAGATTTTAGCTCTTGGACATTTGTTTGCACAACTTGTAATTTGGGTCTGTGTAGTTAATTGCTTATTGATTGTGGATTTTGAAGTCATCCTGTTGCTTAAAGATCTATTTTTTTTAGCTCAGAAATGTCTTTTGTTGTTTATTGCTGTAGCTTCTTATTTTGCGTGCACCTTGACTAATTTCATGTTATTCTTGCCACCTACCACCAGCAATAACTACCAGGTAACTCTGTCCACCAACGGTAGGAGCTAGGACATATGAGAAGAAATCACCTTAGTGTTTTTTGGTCTCTGTTGAAATTTGAACATGAGACCTCGTGGTTCTCAAATCGCCTAGCAGTTTCTTTTATATGTTTTCCACTCTATAACAGTT